TAGAAAATTTAATGATGCTATCAATTACTGAGAAGAAATAGGCTTAACAGGGAAATTGTTTATTTTTAGTCTACTGAGTTGAGGCATCTGCAAAGCATCCAAATAGACAAGAAAGCAGCTGAATGTAGTTCAGTTTTAGAACTAAGAAGAGGTTTTTATGGAGACAAAAATCTGGATTCGGTCACTTAGAGCTGCTAACTGAAGAGATATGAGTGGGTGGGATCATGCAGGGAGAGGACAGACATGATAGGGCCCAGGGCAGAGCCCTAAAACTGCTCTTCTTATGCCTGAGTACAGGGGAGGTGGACAGAGAAGAAGGAAGAGCCAGGGACAGCGGGAGAAGGAAGAATAGGAGTCAGAGTCAAAGGCAAGGAAAAAGTGTTTTAAGGAAAGTCAAGCTGAGCAGTAAAGAAGAATAAAGAAGCACTTGGGCAAATGAGGCAGAAGAATGGTGAGTTCAAGGTCAGCCTGGGCTACACTGCAGGACCCTGTCTCAAAAAACTAAGGAGGAGGAGAAAGTGGAGGGGGAGATTATAGAGAATGCTCCCCATGTCCTGTGATGGTGTGACCCTCATGGGCAAAATTACAGAGGAGGAGGTGAAGGAAGAGGAGGAGGAGGAGGAGAGGAGGAGGGAAGAATAAGAGGAGGAAGAAGAAGGGAAGAAGTGGAAAAGCAGAAAGAGGAAGAAGAGAGGAGGAGGGAAGAATAAGAGGAGGAAGAAGAAGGGAAGAAGAAGTGGAAAAGCAGAAAGAGGAAGAAGAGAGGAGGATGGAGGAGCAGGGGGAGAAGGTGGAGAAGGAGGAGGAGGGAAGTAGGAGGAAGACAAGAGAGGAGCAGTGAAGGTACTAGTTGTTGAAGTTGCTATGAGCAGTAACAACAGCAGCTATAAGAAGCAGCTATAAATCTCATGAAAATTCTTATGAAGACTGAATAGGAGGTGGTGTAAGTAGGAGACAGGAAGTACAGAGAACCTATTCAAAAAGTTTAGCTGTGATAAAGGGGGAGGAAATGGGAGGTTAAAAAGTCTAAGCAGGACAGGTGAAAACTAGCATTGAGAAATAGATGATGTAGTGGATCAAGGAACCTAGGACAGGGAAAAAGTAAAAAACAGGGAAGAATGATAATTGGGAAGAAAATGAAAGGGCAAATAAGTTTGTTTAACACTGAAGAACAGGAGAAAAGGAATGAGAAAATTGGAAAATGAAAGACAATAATGAGACTAAGATGCTAAAGTTCTGTATTTCATGAAAGGTACAGAGGCAAATGATGACCAGGTTTAGCATTCAACTAATGGCAAGGTGGCGAAGGTGGGGTGGGATTGAAAGAAGGCAGAGTAACTGTGGAAGCTCCATCAGCAGAGAAAGTCAAGGAAAGGGGGTGCAGAGTATTAAGACAGGTCATCCACAGGGGCACTTTGGGCATCTGAGAGATAAAAGGAATTAGAAAGAAAGGACGCTGATAAGCCAGGCACCACAGGCTAAGTAGATGCAATTCCAGAAAGTTAGGATATTTAAGGTCTTATGAGATACCCAGATATAATGCACCTCAAAGGAGAAAGGTTTTGTAAAATGGCAGAGTAATGATTTGAAAGAGGATCCAGGAGTCCTAATACCCCACCTACAACCCAGTTAAAAGGGTAAAGCAGCTTCTACTCTGTAAAAGATTGGGAATATATGTTTTTGTTTTTTTAGGAAAGCAACAGAAGTAAAATATTCAACACAACAAACTCCATGTATAAAAAGCCCTTATACTCTATGGTAAAACCTGAAAGCTTTTCCCCTAAGATCAGGAACAAGACAAGGATGCTCTCTTTTGCCCTTCTATTCAACATAGTCCTAAGGTATTGGAAAAGAAGGAAAAAATTAAGAAAACATCCCTGGGCTAGGGGTGTAGTTCAGCAGCAGGGTTTGCCTGGTGTGCACAAGGCCCTGGGCTCAATTTCTGACATCATAAAAAACTTAATAAATAAAATAAATAAAATTTAAAAATTCAATCCAATTTATAAAGGATCAAAAATAATAAAATACTGGGGGCCTGGGATTTAGCTCAGTGGTTCCACTGCCTGCCTTGCAAGTGCAAGGTCCTGAGCTCAATCTCCGGTACCCAAAAATAAATAAATAAAATAAAATAAAATAAAATAAAATACTTGGTAATAAACTTAAACACAGTAAAAACTACAAAAACAAATACAAAGACATCTGTATTTATGGATTAAAAAGCTTAATTCTGTTAAAATGTCCAGACCACAAAGTGATCTACATATTCAATGCAATATGTATCAAAATCTCAATGGCACTTTTGGTAAAAATAGGGAAAAAAACCCCTAAAATTCAAACGGAATCTATCTCAAGGGACTCCACATAGCTGAAACAATCTAGAAAAAGAACAAAGCTGAAAGCCTCATACTTCCTAACTTCATGACTTATTACAAAGCTATAGTAATCAAAACAGGGTGGTAGTGGAATAATGACAGATACCTAGATCAATGGAACAGAAAGAGAGAACCCAGAAATAAATCCTCACAAAAATGTTCAGAAGATCTTTGGCTAGAGTACTGAAACCATGCAACAGGAGCTTTTCAACAGTGTAAGGGAACCTGGATAGGCACATGCAAGAAAATTAAGTTGGACCTTCACCTTACATCACAAAAATTAACTTGAAAAATGGACTGATGACCTAAACACAGACCTAAAACTATAAAATTCCTAGATGAAAACATATAGGAAAAGCTTCATGACTTTGAATTTGGCAATAATTTCTTGCACATGGTACCAAAAGCATAGACAACAAAAGCAAAATCAGATAAATGGAACTACAACAAAGTTTAAAAGTTCTATACAGCCAAAGAGCATAATTAACAAACTGAAATAACACAAAATGAGGAAAAGTATTTGCAATTCATGTATCTTCTAAGGGCTTAATATCCAGAATATATGAAGATTCCGATGACTCAACAACAATTAAACAAAAAATAACCCAACTGAAAAGCAGGCAAAAGATCTAAACAGGTATTTCTTCAAAGAAGACATATAAATGACCAAGAGGTATATACAAAAGTGCTCAATATCATCAATCATTAGAGAAAGGCAAATCAAAACTGCAATGAGCTATCACTTCACACCTGTCAGGAAGGCATTACTATCAAAGAACAAAACAAATACATTATTTGTGAAGATGTGGAGAAATTGGAACACTATGCACTGTTGGTGGGATTTGTAAAATGACACAGTTGCCATGGAAAACAGTATGAAAGTCCCTCAAAAAATTAAAAATAGAACTACCATATGATCCAGCAATCTCACCTCTAGGCATGTATCTAAAAGAAGTGAAAACAGGAACTTAAGAGATATGTGCACACCCAGGTTCAAGACAGCACGAGTCCAAAAAAAATATAAATAAATAAATAAATAAATAAAATTTTAAAAAGACAGCATGAGTCACAATAGCCAAGGGATAGAAGCAATATCTTGTCCCCTGACAGAGGAATGGAGAAAATGTGGTACATAAATCCAATAGGATTAATTAATCAGCCTTTTTAAATAAAGAAATCCTGCCACATGTTACAGTATGGATGAATCTTAAGGACATTCTGCTAAGTGAAAAAAGGCAGTCACAAAAAGAAATTCTATATGACTCCAGTGGTCTAACTACTGCTTTAGAACCAATTAGAATGAGACCTTCGCTCCTGCTGGAGACCTAATGGGCCTTTTTTTAAAGTCTGAAGACTGCAAGGCCAAGAAATTCCTATAGTTTATCTCTGTACACATGCTAAACAGGAGACACAGCTCTTCGAGTCTTTACTGAGTCGTGGAAGCAGCAGCAATCCCTGGTGGGAAGGAAGGTCCCCTAGTCTAGCCCAGAGCTCCAACCAGGAGGTATAGGAGCTTCTGCTTCAGGGCTCACATGTAGTTAGAAAAGGGAGGAGAACCCAAGCATTACACGCCTCATGTTCTACTCATTAAAATATCTATGCCAGTCTTGTCTTTTCTTATATTACAAATGGTCTGCTCTTTTCTCTGGACATTAACTAGCAGAATTCAAATGCTTAGCTTTGAGAATACTTGGAAAGGAAGGGGGCTAGGTTCCAACCTGTACAGCTGCAAAAAAGTAGACACCATACTGCATTAGAAAGTTATTTCTGCCAGTGGTGAACTGAGAATGTTCACAAAAGTAATAGTCTGAATCTCCTTTCCAATGTGGAGACTTCTAATACAAAACATAGCTATTGTGTTTTCTGTCTAACAGAGCAATCTTTTAAAGACACCTGGATTTCAGTATTACTACATCATATTTAAGCTGCAACAAACACTTGATCCATAAAAGACTGCAATTTGATTGGCTGTTTTATGACTTTTAGGATTTCTGTACAAACACTTCTCTGTTTATTTAAATCTTATTACCATATTAAACCAGAAGAGGAGCTCTGGTACTTCCTTCTCCCTTCATGCCTGAAGGTTAATAAAATCCATGATTGCACTGAATTCTTTATTCAAACAAAAGGGTTGAGAGTCTTAGTCTCATTTAAATTAAACTAAGCTAATGGGATAGATGAAGATAGTCACACAGGATGGAGGATGCAGAGCTAATAAGTGCCCAGCAGCTGGAGTGATGACAGATCAAGAGAACAAAAGAAAGAAAATCCCAGGGGGATACAGGAGTTCCAATTCCTACCCACTATGAACTTGAAAAAGGACTTTACTCTCTTCAGGATGGGCCCTAATTTTTTCATCTCTAACTAAAATGAATTTAAAAACCTTCCTTTCCAATCTCACTATTATAATCTATTTCCATTAATGAATGAGTGTTAATAGCTCCCTAGAGTTTCAAGGATATACAACTAAGTACAACAAGATGCCTTTGCTTTGTCTTGTTTTTGGTTTGAATAATTTGTTTTTTCACACGGCAGTGTTTTACAGAGACAAACAGGGCTGGAAAGAATCTCAACCTCAGGCTGTTCTGTGTTTGGAGGTGCAGGTGGGATGAGGATATCCATATTTACCAGTGTTTTCCATAGAGCCAATGGCCTCCCCATGTCAGTAGGCAGAGCCCAGCTGTGGTTTTCTTCCAATGATTTCGAAGTGTTTTAAAGAACACAGTCATCTTCTCCTAGAGATTCTTCTAGGTTGGGAGAGGCAGAAAAAAAGAAAAAAGAAAAATATAATTATCCCAGGTAATCAGGTAGCACCCTATTACTCTTCTCCTGTTCTTTCATTCTCTCCCTCTCATTCTCTCCCTCTCATTCTCTCCCTCTCATTCTCTCCCTCTCTCTCTCTCTCTCTCTCTCTCTTCCTTTTGGTTGTCTCCTTTCCAAGTCTGCTCTGGTCTCTTCTCATCTTTACCCTTCTAGGCTCATCACTGTCATCTTTTCACCTGCCCACCTACCTATTACTTTTTCTTTATTGTATTAGAAAGAAAAAGGAGGGGCAGAAAAGAAGGGGATTTCCAGGCTTCCTCTGGTTTTTCTGTCTTATAGTCTCATACCACTGTTGTAAGAAAATATGTCCATCCATTTTATACACAAGGGACCCAACAACACATCAGCAAGGACTTACTCACAACACCAGGCTCTCACTAGGAAATTTAGCAGAAAACATACAAAGAAAACTCAGTGGACTTTGTGGAAGGAAGTTCATTGGGTCATATCCTTACAATTTGTGCATTTTTATGTGTGTACGTTATACTTTAATAAAAAGCTTTTAAAAATTAAAAAAAAAAGAAAACTCAATAGGCTGGGTATTTAGCCCAGTGGTTCTGCTGCCTGACTCGCAAGCACAAGGACCCGAGCTCGATCCCTGGTACCAAAAAAAAAAAAAAAAAAAAAAGAAAAGAAAGAAAGAAAAAGAAAACTCGGTGGAGAAGTGCTATGTAAAAGTGCTCAGCTTATAGAGTAATCAAAGACATGCAAATCACAAAAAACTATCATTATGCACCTATAAAATTAACAAAATTTTTAGTTATCACACTCACTGATGACACTTGAGGTAACTCAGCACAATTTCAGTAAAAAACAAAGTGACAAAATATATCCTTATTCTGTCTTCTCTGTGGCTCTTATCACTTGATGATACTTATTTGCTACTTTGTTAATAAGTTTATCCCACTGAAATGTAAACTCCACAAGAGTTCTGTTCTGGTCACTGATAGATTCCACGCCTCAAGTAAGATCTGGTACATAACAGCTATTTAACAAATGTATATTCAATGTATAAGTCATGCAGCAATTAGTAGGGGTTTTTTTGCTGAGAATTTTTACAGATGTGGAAGAAACTCAAATATGTCAACTGAAATTAGCATGATAAAGACATGTAATTGGTATCCCAATTATATTCAAATATGACAAATTGAAAAAAATCAATACAAATAAAAATTTTAAAGTAATTTCCTCTACATTGTGTGATGGTAGGTGATGTTCATTTTTTAAATCCAACTATATGTTATCTAAAATAATATGATTTTCTAAACATAACAATGTAAGCAAAAGTACTAATGACTATGCATGAAGGAGGTAAATAGATCATGAAAACAGCTCCTTCCACTGAGAAGTCCAGTTCTTACAACTCCCTTTATCCCACACTGATTAAAAGTCCTCTCATGGGAAGAAGCATCCTTACTGTGGCAGTAATGAAGCCAGAGACACGAAGCCAGACTGCCCATGAATCCTGGACCCTGTTCAGAGTGGTAAGAGGGTCTTGAAGGCCCATCTAATTGCTGAACTCCTCTCCACACAGCTCTACACCAATCCTTCATTGAGGAGGCCTTTGATAAACACCTATATGCCAGGCTCTGTGGCAAGAGCTAGGACACAAGAGAGAAAGTCCCATGCTTAAGTGCTTACAACTCTTAAACCCACAATCACAACACAACTGCACAGTGATGGCTGCAATGCAGTGGGATGAACGTTGATGGGTGAGCACAGGCCCCGTCCACAAGTATGCACCTAACCTGGACTGACAGTGAGGGGCCGTGGAGGGTCATGAAGTCATGCAGTCTTTCAAGTCTTGAAGACCAAGGAGTCACCAAGTGAAGAAGGGGCTATGCATATGCTATGATCCAAATCTGTCCATCTGAAATCATATGTTCAAGTCCTAATCTGCACTGAGATGGTATTAAGACCAAGAGCCTTTGGGAGGTAATTAGGTTATAAGGGAAACACCCTTATGAATGGGATAAGCGCCCCTATAAGAAAAGACACCAGAGAGGTTGGTTCATTCTCACATTCTCTCTCTTTCCGCCCACCACATGAGCACACAGGCAAACCGCCAAGTGTGCAACAGGAAGAGGATCCTCATCAAGGTGCCCAATGCTGGCACATTGATTTCAGACTTGTAGCTTCCAGAACTGTGAGAAATTTCTATTGTTTAAGCTACCCCAGTTTATAGTGTTTTTATTCTAGCAGCCCGAACTAAGACAGGCTTAACCAAGGAGAAAAGCCAGCAAGTTATGTTCAGAGAAACCCAGGCAGATAGTGTAGGAGAAAAGAGATTGCTCACCCATCACTAGGTTCAAAGCTGAGAGAAAAGATTGAAGAAAGAAAAGCATATAAATTTACTTAATCCAATTTTATCTGACACAAAAGCCTTCAAAAATGAAGATCCAAGTAGGAAAACCTATGTATTTTTATGCTAAGTTTGGTCAGGAGTAGATAGTTGTGTAGAAGTATGATTAAACAAAGGCATAAATTCTAGTGGTAATAAGAAGGGAATGGAGCCAAGCCTGTTTGTTCAGATTCTCCTGTGTCCTCCCAACTTCAGGGACAAGAGTATCTTTTTCCTCTATGTATTGGATGGGCATCTCTCACATGACAGTCTTACACAGAATAAGGTCAAAGAACTCTTTCTAGTCTGCTTCTGGGGAGAAGAGTAGAAGGTCAAAGAATGACCTTCCTGCTTCTGCTGTTTCCTCAAATGCCAAGGTGCCATATTTTGTGGTAGCATGTCTTGAGCCCTGACAATGGTTTGATATGGACATATGCAGGGCAGGTATGGAAGCGTGTCTAGCACAGGGGTTCTGAATCTTTACTGTAAAGCTTGTTAAAATCCACAGAACTTGCTTTTTTAAAAACAAAACAAAACATTATTTTGGGGCATTACTACCCTCTTCAAAAATCCTCATGTGTTCTGGGATTGAGCTGTCCTCTTCAATTTTAGCAAGTATTCCTATAATTGTAATGGAGGTCAGCACTACACCAGACTTTGAGAAACACTAGTTTCTCAAGAGAAGGCAGAGAAAAGAGTAAGAGATGTGAGAAAAATTAGAAAGACCTTGAACCCACACTAAAGACTTCAGAACATATTGTGTTGAAGACAATGAAAAAACTTTGTGATTGATGCAGGTGAGTGATATACCTGACACACTTGAATTTCACTTTTCAGCAGAATGTAAAATGGACTGGTACAGTAGAAGCTGAAATCAAAGCTAAATCGAGCCATTAGGAAGTCACTGTCATAATTTCTGCACCTTACAGCAGAAAAGAACAAGAGAAATGGTGAGAGGGTAGATCTGGAGGTTTTGTTTGTTTGTTTGTGCTTTTAGAGGTCTTTAGAAAAGAGAAATTGGCAGCACTTGGTGATCAATTGATTGCAGGAGGTGAAAGAGTAGGAACCAAATTAGGTTTTGTACCGGGACAACTAGTTGGAAGAATGAGTTCAATCCTTGTAGATCTGTGAGAAAAGGTTGTATGCAGTTTAGGAGGCACTGAGATTAACATGCCTGGAGGGGATGCAAGTAGAAATATCCAGTGGATGTCTGGATGCCACAGTCTGAAGCTAGGAGACACTGAGCAAAAGACACAGATCTGATTCAATGGTATAGAGGTCAAGTTTGGAAAGACAAAGGGACAAGAACACCAGTAAGTCAGGGAACAATCTAGGCACCTGGAAGCCAGTTAAGAGACCACCCCTGGCCCAGTGGAACTCCCTTTTTGTCACCAACGAATGATTTGTGTATTACAAAAATAATGTGGCAATAAGGCAACCTAGGGTGGAAAAGGGACTGGTCCAAGGGTCTAGAACTAGATTCTAGTCTGAGCTTTGTCACTTACTGGTGATGAGAGCCTGGATACATCATTTTAACTTCTGCTTCAAATTAGGATATGCCACCTGCTTTACTTACCTTATTTAACTAAGAAGATCACAGGTGATAGTTGTGAAAGTAAATTTTGCTGTTATCACAATTTGCAATGCATTAACAATATGTATTCTCTAAGTAACCAGAATTCTCATTCCCTAATCTCACTAAGTCTATATGTTGTATGTTCAAACATTCTGTTTTAAAAGCAAGTATTCCTCCCAAAGAATTGATATTTCCCCTTCTGCTAATCGCATCCAACCCTCCAGACGTGGGGGGTGGGGTCGACAGCAAACTCTTCAATGGCAGGCTGCAGCCATCTGAAGCCCCAGAACCTAGGAAAGTGCCTAGAATGAATGAACCAACCTGCCTATCCACGGATTGCACAGTTGGCCTGGTTTGGGGCAAGGGCGCGCTGAAGCCCAAGGAGGAAAGCAGGTGCGGGCTCTCCTCTCGGGTTAGGAAGGCACTAGGTCTCGAATCCAGGACACCTGGCTCCCGGGGGACCACCGATGCGCCTCGCGCCGGCCCTGCCAGGCTTCCACCCTCCCGCCATGCCGCCGTCGCCTTGAGGCCAGACCCCGCGACCCTCTGACCAGCTCCGCTCCGGCAGCTCGCCCCAAGCCCCGGCCCCGCGCGCAGCCCAGTCCCGTGACCCGAGCCCCGCGGCCCCGAGGCTCCCGGCTCTCACCGCTGTCGGGCCGCTCGCCGCCCTGCTTCCTGTGTGTTTGCTCAACACTCCCCCGCTTGTTCGCGGGAAACCGCTGCCGCTGCCCTCGGGTTCCGCCGGGGGTGCGTGGGAAGGGTGGGGCTCGCAGGGAGGATGGGGCTCGCGGAGAGGGAGGGGGCGGGGTTACAGCGGGATGTAACCCCTCCTTCACTCTGTCATTCATTCATTCACTCATCCTTTCATCCATCCATCCATTCATCGCCCAAAAATATTTTCTGACAAGCTCACCAAGACAAACACTGTATAGGACGCAGAACGAAATTGGAAAATAACTAAATGAAAAGTTCCCCCTTTACAGTTCCTGGCAAGCTGCTTATCTGCTCTGTGCCTCAGTTTCCACAAGATAGGAATGGGTGTTCAGATAGTCCTATCTCTAGAGTCATTGTTAGGAATGAAAGAGAAAATGTACCCCTCAAGGGCTTGGCATACAGTGCACTCGCAGAAATAGCGTTCACTCCCTCCATATTCAGTAGATATTTGTTGCATGTCTACTACGCAAATGCCACCAGCGTAGGCTCTTGGGATTCATTGGCGAGCAGTACAGAGAATTCAGACAAAAGAAATCTCTTTCTCAGGAAGCTGACGTTTCAATATGTGTGTGAATAGAGCTATAGATGTAGATGATATAGATATAGATACAGATTTTTTTTTTAAATTACATGTTGAATGGGTCCAAGAACTCGTTGGCAATATGCTGTTCATGTTGCTGGGCTCCTTCTCCAGGACAGGTGGCCTAACTGAGGTCTTCTGAGTAAGTGGCAACTGGTCTGAGACCTGAGAGGCAGGAAGGAGCAAGGCTAGCCAAGGTCCAAAGGAAGAGAGAGTCTGGCAGAGAAATGGCATGTTGGAGGCCAAGGAGGGTGAGTCCCAGAGAGCTGGGAAGAAAGGTGTGGGATGAAGATGGAGAGGTAGGCAAGACGTGGTGATGTCGGAGCCCAGTACACAGATCACTGAGCTGAAACTGCAAAAGAGGAACAGATGTAGGAGAGCCTCTCGTTCTAGTATCAGCCTCTCCATCCGGGAGAACAAGATTAACCCCTGAAGACAGAGTGGGATTAAGGTGACAACTTTACTAGCCTTTATCTGCCATTTGTTTGCCATTCCCCAAGGTGCTGCCCATAAAGACTAAAAGTTCTTTTTCTTTGTTTTGTTAGGTTTCCAAACTCACTGTTCTTTGATAAAAATGCTATATAAACCAAAGATCAAAATCACTGCTTTTGTTTTCTTGTAGTGTGCACAAGTTAATAAATATGCTTATTTGCTCTTGTTAATTTGTCTTTTGTTACAGGAATCTGTCCCAGCTTATGAAAATTGAGAAGAAATTGTATTTCCTCTCCGATAGAGGTAAAGAGTTTGAACATTACACCTAGTAAGATGGTGTCTTAGTTACCTTCTTGTTGCTGACACCCATGACTTAAAGAAGGAAAGGCTTATTTTAGTTCACAGTTTGTAGAGGTTTCAGTCCATAGTCAGCTATCCAAGGCAGGATAGCATAACTGAAGGACATAGCAGAGAAGAAATGGCTAGTAGCATGGCAGGCAGGAAGCAGAGAGGGATCAAAGGAAGAGGAGGGATACAGACTCTCCCAGGCCGTGCCCACAGTGACCCACCTCTTCTCACCAGGCTTCACCTCCCAACATTACACACAGCTATAAACCCATCCATGGACTAATCCAGTGATTAGTATCACACATGATGAGTCATGTCCCAAAAGCCCCACCTATAAGCAGCTTTGCAGGGACATCTAAATATACACCAAGAGATGGGATTTGGTCAGGGAATGGTGAAATCTGACTTACATTTTACACATCTCTCTGGCCATGCTTAAGTGAGTGGATTCTAGAGAACAAGAAAGAAGCCAGAACCTCTGTCCTTAGTGCTTCATATTGGTGTGGGGACCAAGTCAAGCAACATAGATTTCTTTCTTTCCTTCCTTCTGTCATTCATTCAGCCAGCCAATATTTGGTGAGTGGATGTGCCAGGGCCCACAGGCCCTGAGGATGTTGTTTTGTTCAGCACTCTTCATGGTAGCTGCTCTCAGTGAGCTTCCAATCCAGTCTCTGTGATCCCTACATGTAGGACTCCATCCTGTCAGGTCCTCCTAGATGGATGTGTGAAGGAAAATGAGCACATTCAATGATGTTATAGTACAATAAAGTATATTCCATGCTCTGATTCCTAATGGGCCATACTACACAATAGTGTGAGCTTTCTAGCCCTCTCTCCTATAATCTCCACCTGTAAATTAGGGAACTGAGGAGCTCATCATTTAAAAAAATAACCTCTTAGTTCTAAAATATTGTGATATTAAGAGAATGGGATGGGAGACATTCTTTTTAACTTGTCTTTTCTAGCCATCTAAAATGTTTGTATTTGGGAATGAGTTGCTGAATTGATGTCCTATGGGTTAGAAAAACCAGGTCTTGATGCCAAGCAGTTAATGGGCAGGTCTTAGCCTGGGCTTACACATGCTTTAGGGGCCAGGGGGAAAAAAGGAGAGAGAGTTTCCTGAAAACAGGAAAAATTCAGCTTTTGTGGATTTTCCATAATTTTCCAGTCAGAAAAATATTGGGAAAAGCTTTTTTAAAAACCCACATATATAAATGCTTTTTTCTGTTTTAGAGCTGATTTTGTTTTTGCTTTAGATTATATGTGCATGGGGAATACTCTTCTCATTTCTCTTTTTGTGACTTTTAAAGACAAGAATTCAGTATTCCTGTGACATCCACATTACATGTGGGTGTGAATTTGACTGCATGGAATGTTCCTGTGCTTTTAAGTTTTCCTGTGATTCTCCCCTTGAACCAGAAAGAATACAACCCTCCAGATCCACTTTGCACTTCTGTCTACCAAAACTGTAAGATAATAAATTTGTGTTGTCTGAAACTACTAAATATTCAGTAATTTGTTACAGCAGCCACAAGAAACTAATACACATTGTCTTTGAGTGTGCTTCCTAGAGAATCCAACCTGTGACAGATTGCTATTTCCACACTTTCAGTGACTCAGTATTAAAATTCAATTATTTCTGTCTTCCATTTTGCTTGTGTAGGGCCACTCCTACACTCATCTGCAATGCAAACGTGTAGTCTCCCATTCCCCCTCCTCTCTGCTCATCTACTATGGTTCAAATGTCCCAAACTGAAACTTCATGGTTTACTTTTGTAATAGTAGTGAGAGATGAAACCTTTAAGGAGTGATTAGCTTACGAGACCTCTGCCCTTATTAATAAATTAGTGCCATCATCCTGGGGGAGTGTTCCTGGTGTCAAGGGTGAGGCACCTGCAGACTTACACTTATTTGCCTCGACTCCTCATAGGCCCATTTCTAGTTTAAGCTTGTTTTAGTCCTACATGTTGACCTTAGTTTGACTTGGAGTGATCTGAACCCTAGAAGAAGCAGACTGGGCCCTTAAATGCCTGGAGCAGAACCTTAGGCCCAACCCCTAAGGCTCAATGATTTCATGCCACACATCCACACAGATGTGCACAGGCGGATAGAAGGGCTGGGCTTATGTTCTCCTTTTTCCATGTCCTTTGTTTGGCATTGCTAATCACTGAGTGATGTTCCCAAGAACAGAAAAGTAATCCCTAGCAGCTGTTTGGAATTTGTCCTTATCTTCAACTCTTACCTGGGAAAAATGTTTTGCATTGTCAAGGATAGTGAGTTGTGTCTCTTTCCACATTGAACACATGGCCATATATAGTACCTTTTACATATTGAAATAAGCTACATATTGGAAGTATGAGCTCTCTTTGTTGAAAAAATGAATTCATGTCCCCTTAAAGACGCTGACTATTAATTGCCACCTATCAACTTGACTGGATTAAGAAACACCTAGCAGGTTAGCAAAGCACAGTTCTGGGTATCTCTGTGGGGGTGGTTCCAGGGATGACTGGGACATAGCCCAGCACACTGAGAAGGGGAGTCCCACCCTAATTGTGGTTGGCACCATCCAACAGGCCTGTAGCCTGGATGGAATAAACGGGAAATAAGGAGGAAGTTGTCATGTGTTTGAAGAGCTCCATCCTGCTTGAGCAGATTCATCTTTTGCTGCAGCTTGTGGACATCAGTTTCCAGTTCTTTCAGCCTTCCAGGGCAAACTCATACTAGAAGCTCTCCAGGGAGCTTCCAGGGCTTCAGTCTTGTCCTGGTGCTATACCCTTGATCCCTGTTATTCTGTGGCTTCCAGTTTCTTGGACTGATCAGCTACTAGATCCTCTGATTCTCCAGCATGCAGAGAGAGCGATTGTGGACTATGCTGTAAGCCTACCTAATAAATTCATATATATTTTTCTTATATTCTATCAATTCTGTTCCTTTAGAGAACCCTAACCAATGCAAAGACATTGGATAAATGTGACATTGGATATATCCAGTAGCTCCCAGTATTGGAGGAGGAAAATTACTTACATTTCAATATATGTGATAACAGACCATCCTGGAAACCAGTAGCTTCCCACTATTCCAGCCCGGAAGTAACATTCTCTTGTCTCAGAAGAAGTTAGAGAGAAATGACCTCTGACCAGATGTAAGATGAGAGGAAGTTGGGACAAGAGTGCCATGCTCACTCAACATAGAGTATTCAAGTCCCCAATCAGAATGCGTCCTACTGTGGAAGAGTGTAAGAGAACATGAGACCAAACCACAGGAGAAAGAAACAAGATTTAATATTTCAATATTTCCCATTAATATTTCCCACATTTCAATATTTTCCCATTAATAAGAATTGAAATAGTCAACATCACTACACAACACACACACACACACACACACACACACACACACCCCATACTTGGAACTTCTCTCCCAGTTGCATGCATCAACTACATAACACTGAAACAGCAAAGACGGTCACCCAGAATGTTGTCTGTTGATTTCCTGGGAAAAGGTCACTGTGCAGCTCTCACTCCCAATTACATCTGTCCGCCTTTTCCACTTACCTGAAGCCTGGTGGTAGAGTCCATCGCAGGGGTGGGAGTCAGAATGGCTGTAAACTCACTGCCCTAGAGCCTGAATGCTATAGTCCAAAACAAAAAGTCAAGGGGAAAGGAAGACTGGTTGAATAAAATAAACCAAAGGTAAATATGAACTCTTTCACCACTGATCCTTTCTTCTACTTGTAAATACTCACCATGTTGTGCTATCATGTGATGTACATTTTACTTTCTTATCCAACATCCATTTGCCCCGTTCTTGCTAAAAGGAACTGAAATTTGCTCAGGAATCAACCCCTCACAGTCCCAGTCCCAGTTTGCCTGTGACCATGTTGCAGGTGATTGCATGACCTCGTTCCTGTTGGTTTACTCTCATTTCAGGTAATCATATTAATTCCTCTTCCACTGCCAGTGGTTATATTAGGATCCTATGGTGTAGATCAGTTTAGTCCAAAGAGTCTTAAAAGGAGGTCTGTTGAGAGATCTTTAGAACAAGTTTCATTCTTAAAAGTGTGAGTTCAAGAAAGAAATGATGGTCAACCTTGAAAACATCATTCTAGGGAAAATAAACTAATTACAAAAGACAACATAATGTATGGCTCAACATACCATATGACTCATTCTGGAAGTATAAACATCTAGATTTCTCAAACACACAGAAATGGAGAGTAGACTAGACGTTGCCTATGGCTGATGTTGGGAGGAGGTTAGGGAGAAATGGGGCATAACTGCTAATGGATATGGGATTTCTTTTGGGGGTGATGACAAAGATCTAAAATTGGTGGTGGAAATGGTTGCACAGCTCTGTGAATATACTAAGCACTAGTAAATCATAAACTTTAAATGGAAAAAGTATATGGTATATGAGTAATATCTTAATAAATCAGAAAGAACAAAAAAAGAAAGAAAGTCAATCAGTTGATCCTATTCTTTGCCAGAAACAGGGTCATATAGGTCTATGTAATGCCTGAAGCTGCTACTGTCATTGTTTGTCTGTAGAGGGAGCACCCTAGGGCAAAGCCACATCACAGAGGATGACAGAGGAGAGACCTGGGTCCTTGATGACCTCTCAGAGCCCAGTGGTTGTGCTATGTCGGGAGCTTGGCCGAACTCTGTACATCCTATTATGTGAAATAACAAGGCCCCTCATTGTTTAGGTGAAAGTCAGGGTTTTCTGTTCCTTGGAGCCATGAGTGCCAATTTGATAATCTATAAGCCACGGGCTACTGGTGAGTAGGAGGGTTTTAAAAATGATGATGTTCAGGTTTGAAGGGGAAACAGATGGAAATCAATGACAGAAAAAATAGTTGACATCAGTGGTATGCTTGACCTTTTGTTGTTCCCAGAATCCTTCTCCAGTCATTTCCCTGGACCTTGGACCTGTGCTATGCTCATTTTCCATACTTCACTATTAGGAAAACAGAATTTAAAAGCTCAGGAAAAAAGAATGAATAGAGGGCTGGGGATTTAGCTCAGTGGTTCCACCGCCTCTCCCGCAAGCGCATATGGGAACAGATGTTCCCCAGAGTGGGGGCTTCTATCATGAGAAATATGTACAAGTTCTTTTAACATTCATTTTGGTGTATTTACTTACTTTATGCACATAGATACTTCCTTAGACTACTTTGTTAACTCTAAGAAAAAAATATGAAATGGTGTTCTTGTGATATTTATGCTTAAAATCCTTTCCTTATTGTGACCTTTAATATCCACTGAATCTACTACTACCAGATTGGTAACATGTAAATGAGGCCTTTCCAGGAATCAATGGCATCCTAGGAGAGAAAGTATTTTATTTTCCACATTAGCACACGGGACGTTAGAAGAATTCTCTATAATACACTGTCACCATGATCTCCATGGGCCCCGTATAGTCACACATAGTCCATATGACTTCCCATCTTAACATGTCCCTTTGTCATCTTTGCCATTTCCTTCTCGACTCCAGCTGCCTGTTCAATATGAGGCTGAGAAGGAACAAAAGCAGGGCCCACACTGATGGTATCAAGCAAGATCTCTTCCCAAGTATCCTGAAACAAGGAAGAAATTCTACAAGAGAATATTTTTGTTTTATTTTTATTCCTGAGTTGGAAGTGAGACCTCTCCCTGAGCCATTAGGGAAAAAACCCTACCCACCCACCTAGGAAGATGCCAAGCAAGCTAGCTTCCTATCCCCACACAAGTTCAAGGTGGAAAAAAATCTCTCTTCATAAATTAAGACGGCAAATATGTGACTGGATCGAGAAACACCTGGAAAATTAGTAAGGCACACTTCTGGGTGTGTCTGTGAGGGTGTTTCCAAAGATAACTGGCAGATGGGACAGCATACTGATGGGGGAGAACCATCCTGAATGTGGGTGATTTCATCCAATAGGATGGGGCCCTGCATGGAACAAAATCAGAGGGAGGAAGCCCATGACAGAGACTCTCTGGTTTTCCCCTTTTTCTCTGCTTCCTGGCAACCATGAGCACAGAAGCTTTCCTCTGCCATGCCCTTCTGTCATGATGTTTCACTTTACCACAATCTTAGAAGCAATTGTGCCAGCTGACCATGGACTGAAACCTTTGAAATCATAAGGCAAAAACAAGCCCGTCCTCTTTTAAGCTGATTTATGTCAAGTATTTCATCACCCTGCTAGAAATATGACTTAATATGAAAGTCTCAAAACAGGGAAAGTTAATATAAAAATTGGTCCCAGATGATAATACCTTGAATATCTGGCAGAACACAAAAGGATTCTAGGGGGGAAGAAGATGTCCCACACATCAATCAGGCCACAAGGAATTTCCTTTATTCCTTCATCCAAAAAAATATTTGCTAATGTCTTTTACTTACCTTTTTTATATTTTCCCACCTTTGCTCATGTTTGTTTTTAATTATAACAACTTACCTAAATGACCAAAGAACCAAATTTTTTA